CACATTTTATTCCCTATGGGGGGGTTATCTGTTAGTCGCATGACAGGGAATTTGTATCTTTCCGAAGAAAGCAATTAAAATATCCCTGGCCAAGCCCGAGGAGACTATGGGCATCCTTGGAATTGGTGAGAAAAAAGCGCGGAAACTTACAGGAACGTGCGGAGGCACCGACTTCATGCTGGGAACCACCGTATCGTATGATAAGTTTCTTTTGAGGGGCACCAAATGACTGTTTTCTGCAAAATATTAATTTGCTCGGAGGAGTACAAATTGCCTAGAATTTTCTGTAGCTTGAGGAAGGTAAACAATTTCTTGACGACTGTTCCATTCCTGTACGATTTTCGAAGCTTATCTAATAAATTCCCTAGATTGTCTGAAGTATAATTTTTCGCATTTCACTCTCCAGGTTACGTTATTTTCCGAACAAAGAGAAAAGCTAAAATTTTCGGATTGGAAAATGCCATGGAGTGAGGAAATCAGATCGAAAAATTCTTTAAGTTGTACATCTAAAATTTTTGAGAAAGCAATACTAAAGCCCTTGTGATTTAGAAAAGACTCAAGTTGCCCTAGTTTGACCTAGTTAAGAATGCATTTTTAGCGATCTAAAAGTACTCTGAATAGCTTACAAAGTCTTTTAAATTCATTCCATGTTGCCGGGCATTTCTCGATATTCGCTTCAAGATCAGAAACCGAATCACTAGGTCTTGCCTGTTTATGCTTCACAAAACCGTTATTCTTGATCAATTGATAACATTTCCTACATAAGGGAATTGAGGACTATAAAATCATTTGAAGGTCAAGTGCCAAATAACCGGATGTGGCCCTTACAAACTGCTTATAAAAGTAACATTTTTCGAGTCACTCGCTCTAATCTGACGACCTATATTGTTTCTACCACTTCCTTTCACTTCCTATAATTCTGGATCGTAACTAATGGACTAATCGTGCTGAAAATACAGACGTGCACTTTCATATTATATTTTACCTAAAATAATTAATAATAAAATAATAATTAAAACCCAATAGAAGAACCCAACATATGACAGTCATTTGTTCCTGGTCTAGGATCTTTGTTCTGTCACCTTTGTTATGTGAACCAGCACGCTCGTGGGCGCTCTGTTATGCGAAAGAATGCGCGTTAGTTCCTCGCACTTCGTGGCAGTATTGGTCCTCCCTCCGAGCCGCTCCGAATAAACGTTGTTCCGCCGTTGCCTGCAGCCTTTTGCCGAAAGAAAGAGCATTAAATATTTATGGCTTCTCATAATGTCAGTTACAACGTGTAATTTCCTTTATTAGCGTCAAAATCTAATAGAGTATAAAATTGGCCGCTTTTCGTAGTTCGCACGGGGAGAAAATCCCATTAACCCGCGCGCGTCTTGTCGGATTCCTCGCGCGTTTCCCCAATTTAGATGTTGTATTTCACTGTAAACGGAAATGTAAAAGATAATGATTGACATAGTAAACGGATGGTGTGAATTTCCACCGTTGGCAAAAGCTAAAATGTTAATTTTCAGCTGCAACTGAACAGCCAATATGCAGAATTTCAAAACTGAAATTTGAAGAACGAGCAATTAACTATTATTGGACAGCATCGTATTTCATTTTTTGCGGCGACGACACAACGCTGATCGAGAACTACCAACCTCGTGCCTGAGAGCGTCGTTTTGTTTATTTCTTCCTGAGTTCACGGGTCGAAACACAACTATAACGTGTGAAGGTGAGTCGATAAAGTTATTTGAAGTCAGTAAGAGTATAAAATATATTTACATATTGACAGAGACAATTATTTAAGCCTTTTTTGTTCATTGACTACGCGCGGCTCTTCGAAAATTCCTTGAAGACTGAAACCCTCGTGGAACCTCTTGTCACGGAACATTTTGGGTTTTTTGTCATTGTAAAAGCACCGTAGATTTGGGTGATTCTGTACAATTTATAGAAATATAACACTGAAAGTCGGGTCGGTTTGTTACTGTATTCCTCGCTGATGGGAACAGATGTCTGAGATGTGATCACTGTGTACAAATCATTCAGTCGCTATAAATAAATTCTTTTTCTGTGGATTTCTTATAAGGTTTAGTGTATTCGTTTCCAATGAAAACTATCTACCATTTAAATGAACTCGATCTGCTTATGTCTGCAGCTTGTGGGTTATTCCAGTTATTCCACTAGTTTTGCGCCGCGAGACATTTTAAATCGGCGTTAAAGTTTTATTGAATATTGCTAGAAAAATGTGGTTTTACAAATTATCATCAGATCAGATCGAAACGTCGCGAATTTTTTGACCAGATAATAGCAGTATCTTATTCCATTATTCAAAGTATTCGAACAAAGAACACGCTTTATTTTCCTACGGGAAAAAAACTGAACACAAGAGCACTTAATTCTTTTCATTTTTACTTAAGCCAATTGAAGAATAATTGTTTTTGTGTAAAAAAAAACAAGTCACTACTTATTTACGTGTATAATTTGAAATGTTCAATGACCCTTTTATTACACGCTGTCTCTCCAGCGGTGAATGATATGTTACCACATTTCAAAGCTTCCGGGCATTTTTTACGGATGTAAATATTCGCTGGTTTTTAAAACCCCGTGTCCTTACTTCTTGTTAGAAGTGCTAGAGATGAACTGTCATTTACTTTTGTATTTCTAAAGTGCAGTGCTTGTGAATCCCATTTTTATGACATTCCCCGTTTTCACTTTAATTTTGATATTTTTACCCAAATTATATTCGTCACAGACGGATCGATCGGATCAATTTTTGTTGGTGTCGATTAATTGGGTTAATTACGTTCGCGTTTACTCAACGGGAATGAACATGAGAAATTAAACCTTATTTTTTGTAACGTACCAATAATCCATCGCTAGCCTGCGAACACAGCCGTCTCTCCTCGCTCTTCGTGACACGGGACCTTGTGGCCAGAAGCTAGTAGAGATGGCTGTTTTCGCAGGCTAATCCCACGGGTAGTTAATCCATAGCGCAAACTCTTAATCAGGCTCCATTACTTACCCGCCGCTGTTCGGGAAATGACGTGTCCTTTCTCTCGTTAAATACCCCACTAATTTACCTTTAGTTCATAAATCTTACTCGTTTTATCTTTTCTCGTCGATTACCTATATATTTCCGTCACGCAACACCATCACGCAAGTAACTGGTTAGAGATACGTTCAAGTTCACTCAGACAATGCTCTCGAAGGGTAAGGTGTAATCCCTTCAATAACTTATCGCGGAAGGCTCTGCCCGACGCCCATCTTGCATAAAAGTTAAAATTGTAAAAAACAGTTCTTTGATGTAATAATGCCTTCCTATGAAGGGATTTTGAGAACTGTTAAGGTGTATTAAAGGTAGATGATCAGTCGCAAAGAACACAAGAATTGATGAAAAACACATTAAAAAAGTTTTAAAACAAGTTTCTTGTTTGTTTATATCCTCTAGGCCTTTAAGAGAGCCGTTAAAATTAAAACCCCTCGCCCAAAACTTTTAAATTTCGTACATACCACTGCACCAAAAACACCAGATGCTTTGAATTTTTTTTGGCCTGGCCCTCGTACGTCCATGGAAAAAAGTACAAAAGTTTGATAACTCTGAAGTTTCAGAATTGTTGAGAAGCAACTTTTGGTCAATTTTACCAGGAAAGGACCCCCAAATTTCGGTGAACGGAAAGCTGTCCAGGAACAGTTGCGAGAGACAGGAGGAAATGTGTTTTTTTAGTACTCTCGTGTTTACACTCTACTTCATTGTGCTGAATGTAAAACCGTTAAACATCTGTTGATCAACAAATGTTGCTACTAGTTGATTGAGTGTTATGGGTAATTTCTCTGTCTCTACAACACCAAATCGAAGGGGTGCAGAAATGTAGGCACAAAAGAGATAAGAGAAATTGCTGAGGTAGTAGGGAGGACGACAAGTGAAGTAACGTGACGATAAATTGCTTTTAACTTTGAATGAGTAAAGTCTGAATAGTGCGTTTTTATTCTTTCTTTGGCGAGTTTTCAGGATTTTTGCAACAACACTCGCAGCGCACAATTTGCCTTTTGGTCAGCCGCCATTCTCACATTTCCCGCAAAACATGAAAAGAATTCAAGAAAACGCAACATTGTCATTGAACAAACGGCAACATCGTGCAACATTCGATCGTTGACGTTGAACCGTGTGTCACAACCTTTTCAAGATGATCTCTCTTTGGCCCTCAAGTACACCCTATGAGAGTTAATATAACATTACCCTACAGAGTTATGTAATCAGAACTTGAAGAAGACCGTTTTCATAATCTCACGACAATCGCTACGTCGCAACCGAATGGAGAATGATCGAGTTCTGTAGTTGTCTTCCCTATTTGAGAAATGATTGCCTGCGTGCAGACGTCTCCTATTTCCTTTGTTGCACGCGGAAAAGGGACGTCTGCGTAACGCCGTCGCTAATCGTGTTCCAGCGTCCCGCTGGCAGGGTATTCTATTTCGCATAAATTGTGAAATAATATCCGGTTAGAAATAAGAGTTGACAGGCCAAACAAAACATCATAAGCTCGTGATACGGGCGAAACGTGACCTTGAGAGTCTGCTTGAACAGAGGTTTTTCTTCTTTTCTCTCTCGCGCGAAGATTACTAGCACTACACAGTGCATGTAGCATTCTAACCTTTGACTGAGTAAATCTCATTTTTGCCGCGCTAAGTCTTACATTTAGAGGTCATGAAGCAGGTTTGTTACATGCATACTGAGTAATCATTTCCTGTGGTTTATGCTTCTGTGGGTGTTCCCGATAGGATTTGATTTCAGATGCAGTTGTAAAGTGTTTAAATTTTCTTGACCTCTGTTTGTTACGGCTAAATAAAGATTTTAGTTTCTTTGGCTGGCTTTCTCCGAAATGCCTGCCTGGTGCGAAGTCCACGCCGCTTTTGTAGTTTTCTCAGACACTGTTTACAAATATGATGTGATGTGTCATGCACAGTAAATTGTAAA